CGATGAGGGGCGGCAGGGCAGGGCCGCGACGGGCGGCAAGGCAGGGCCGCGGGTGGCGGTAGGGAAGGGCCGCGACGAGGCGGCGAGGTCAGGGCCGCGACGAGGCGGCGACAGGGCAGGGCCGCAACGGGCGGCTAGGTCAGGGCCGCGACGGGCCGTTAGGGCAGGGCCGCGACGGGCCGAGAAGGCAGGGCCGCAACGGGCGGCACTAGGGCAGGGCGCGCGACGGCGCAAGTGAGGCAGGCGCGAGGCGCGCTTCGGGCAGGGCAGGAAAAAAAAGTTTAATCGTGGTGGGCCCTAAAAAAAACGTTCCCACTAGGGAACCTGCTCTGAAACCATGTCAGAAATGTGAAGGAAAGAATGACTAGAAAGAGAGCAGTACAAGGTTTGTATAGGCAAAACCTAATTTGGGCTGTACCCCATAAGGAGTGCCCCACTACAGCCTAGAGCATATATGCATAGTTCTGACAGACACGGTGCCACGTGACGCTGTACGTCGGTCAGCATCTTGGGCCAGTAATAATGCCATTGCAGCTGCTGTCATGTTTTTTCGACCCCGAAATGTCCTGAGGTAATTCCGTCATGTGCATCCTGTAGTGATATTTCCCTCAGCAAGGTGTAGCCCGGTACCAAGATGCGATCGGTGCCGGATTGTACGTAGTACACTCCTCGTGCTGCTGCGAACTGTTGCAAATTGCCACCATTGAAGAACGGTCTGTTTGGTAACCGTGGGTGAATAGTCCTGTGAGCAGTGGGCTAGTCGGGGCGAGTAGTATTGCGTATATATTGGCAGTCGGGCGAGTCAGTGCGTCGGCGATGTTGGAGGCACCCTTTTTGTAGATGACCGTGTAGGGGTTGAGGTGGGGTTGCGCTGTAGTGATCGGTGGTCGGTCCGTACTGTGACGCCTGCACCGGTCAAGTAACAACTCCACAGTTTGAGCGCGTGCACGATCGCAAGCATTTCGCGGTCGTGTATTGGGTAATTCTTTTTGGGCGGGTGAAGCTTTGGTGACTCGTATGCGACTGACTGCAGGCCGTCGCTGAAGTCATGTAACAGCGCTGCTCCTATGCCAATGTTGCTGGCGTCGATAACTACTTCGAATGGGCAGTATGGGTCGGCGATGCGTAAAACGGGCGGAGAACACATAACCTTTTTCAGGGCAGAGAAGGCATCATGCTCTTTCCCCCCCCTACGTAAAAGCAACCCCAGTCCGTGAGAGGGGCAGTTAACAGTGCCATGTCGGGGACGAACTGACGCACATAATTAGCAAAGCCCAGAAAACTCTGCAGCTCCGCGATGTTCATCGGGGGATGCCACGCTTTGGCTGTGTCTAACCTTTTTGGGTCAATCTCGACTCCAACCTTCAAAATGACGTGACCTAAAAATTCTAAGCGATCATGAAAAACTCGCACTTTGAACCCTTCATCAGCAGCCGATGTTCGTCTCCAAGTCGGCTAAGTGTTGTTGCTTGTCCCGTCTGTAAACTAGGATGTCGTCGAGGTAGAGGATGACGCATTTATCTAGGAGTGGCCTAAATGCCTCATTCATGGTGATTTGAAATGTTGCGGGCGCGTTGGTCAACCTGAAAGGCATCACCGTGTACTCAAATGACCCGTATCCAGTCCTAAATGTTGTTTTGGCGCAGTCCATCATTTCGACTCGAATCAGATGGTAACCGCCGTGTAAGTCGAATTTCGTAGTTGATCGACCAGTTCGTCGCCCCGGGGGATGGGATATCGTGACTTGACAGTAGCCATATTCAGTGCTCGGTAATCTATGCATATGCGAGAACACCATGTCTTCTTTCGGTGTGAACAGTATTAATGTGGCGAACAGTGACAAACTCGGTCGGATGCTTTTTTTTCTCGAAAACAAATATCTAACTGCTTCTTGAGCTCCTCTAGCTCGGTCTGTGAGAGACAAACTGTCGCTCTACAGTTGGCTGTGCCCCCGGTTTTAGCTCTATTATGTGGTCGTAGGATCAATGAGGTGGCAGTCCCTCCGGTAAGTCGTCGGGAAAAATCTCATAGTAATCCCCGCAGTCCGGGCGGTACAGTTGCCATCGGTGTCTGAAAATCGCTCGGCTTCTCGGCTTCTCCTACTTTTGTGATATCCACAGCGTAGACGTCAGCTCCTGATGTGACGGCCCGTTTCATGGTGATGGCATTGACGTGGACCGTTCAAGACTCAGACAACTGCTAGCAAGGTAGTGCAACCCAGTTACCGCTGCTTCGCACAGTGCAGCTGCCTGCCGTCCAGTCAATTCGCGGGTTATACCTTTGCAACCAATCACGCCCCAGTAAAATGTCGGTCCCATCCAGCGTTGCCGCGCGCATTTCCTGTGTAAATCCGAATACTCCCCCACAGCGAACGTTCACCTTCTCCACTTTTTCCCGTATTGCCACTGGCGTGCCGTCAACAAACCGTGCCTCGATCTCAGGTAAACAACGGCTAAGTGGTAGTTGCAGTTTCCTTGCAGTCGCGGTATTAACTAAACTATGGCTGGCCCCTCCGTCGATAAAAACTTTCATTGCAGTACCCTGTATTTTCCCGTGAATCAGTACAGGGCAATCTGTCGCTGCACCCTCCTTATTCAGCTGAGCCCGATCGATTGCGTGAAACGGTTCAGTCGTTCGGTGAGGGTCAGTGGGGTCGGGCGAGCAGTGAGTCTCGTCAGTAGTGGGCCCATACTCTACTGACTGCCGCCGTTTCCCTGCCTCCCAGACTATCTCCTCTGCCCTGCTCCTCGGCGCTTTAACACCTTTGGCCCGACCTATTGCATGCGAAGCAGCGTTCCCGAAATGGCGTGACAGCGGCATTCGTTGCAACGGCGTGTACCGTGGTGTGCTCGGTCGTTCCCTGAGTACGTTGTTCGTAGTGGTAGGACCCTGGCCTCGGACGACGTAGTATGTCAATCTTCTCGGCGAGCACCATGATTTTGTTGAAGTTAGAGACCCCGCATAGAAGAATTTCCTACGAGATTTTTTGCTTCAAGTAGCCGACGTAACAATCCACTCGCTACGCTTCGTGCATGTAGCCAACCTGTTCACATGGAGCAAGAAAACCGCTGTTGTAGTCTTGAACTGACCCAAGCTGTCGCCAAGTGCGCAGCTTTTGGCGTGCTGAGATCGAAGCCGCGATCGGCTCGAAGCGCACCCGTAGCCCTGCACACCACGCATCCCACGTGCGGTATTGGGCAACTTCGCAGAATGAACTCCAGGTGACAGCCGGCCACGAGGGCCTTTCCCCTTGCGCCAGTGGCTCGTAGTCGCTTGGCGAGGTTACGATGATTCACGACGAGTCCATGGCAGGCCCGAGCAACAACGAAACAACTCACCGAATCTTAACTGTATCCGACGTGGCGTAATTCGCGTAAAAAAACATGTTCATCGTGAACAACCACGATTGAACCGTCGGACCTCCACGTTGGCTATGATCGAAATAGGGCGAGCGCTGTGGCTTGAGTGGCATCGGCTCACCAATGTCGTTGTTTCCGACTGACGTGTCGGCAGGCTTCGCGGTGTGTGTTCACGTTAGGTGCTTCCCTGGTTCGTTCCATGCCCCGCATTGTTTGGGCAGTCGCCATCACTGGCTATGGCTGAGCGATGTCCCACGCTGTCGTGCTGTGAGGCGGAATTGTCCCCAGATGTGATAGTGATTGGTTCTTCAGTTGGGATTGGTGCTTGTGCGGGTGCATTCATCGTCGACTGCTGACGCGCCGAGTCGCGCTCCGCCGTTAAAGTTGTAATTTTGAGTGCGGATTCCTGCAGCTGACGCATAATGTCGTCGAGGCGTTCTTGTGTCATGCCTTCGAGCGGAATGTGGGCGTCTCGTCCATGGCGGGGGTGTCGGGCTGGCTCAGCGGTAGTCTCGGTCGTGGCTGTGTGTGCTTACTAGAGAGCACACGAGTAGCGGTGCTGGTCGCTGAGGGACGTCTACACCCCCCCCCCCCCCCCCCCCCCCCCCAAATGTGATAAGTTGGGAAGCGGAGTAGTGTGCGGTCCGAAAAAAGGGTCGTGGTTTTGAATACCAAGTGCTACAAGTGCAATTGAGTGAGCGGGCGAAGATGGCACTATCGAGGGAAAGAATACAATGAGCGAAGGCATGAGTGAATTGTTATATAGGCGGAGTGTTTCGGCAACAGTAACGCACTCGTGAAAGGGTGCCTGGTCGAGCCTGATTTCAAGGATGGGAATTGTCGAAGCGTAGGGCCGGGTCGCGGGTTACCAGCCGAGCCAGTAGTTTGGGCGCGATTTCCGTGTTGGCGGTAACAGTACCGATGCGAGTATTGCAAGTTGGTAATGGGCTACTGTTGGGTGCACAATGGCGGGAACAGTCGTGAACGCGGTATGCAGTGTGACGCGAAGTAAGAATTACATACATACAACCTTGACGGTTGTTCTAAATCTTTAGTCTCTTGCATTTTCACAGTAACTTTATTTAATACCGTTACCTACGGTACGTCGGTACGAATATTGCTCTTTCACCATGGGTGTTTGTTCTAGCACATGGGATTCTGCCCCGCTGACCCCTGAAAGTTGCTAATTTCCACAAAACAGGGTGTACAGCAGATGCACGTGCAAGGCGACCCACTTTTAACAAGCTACATGATTATCTCTTCGTGTGCCTCCTTGGACTTAAAGATGTACCGGCATGCCCAAAAGGACATTTGAGACGCCTCAAAACTCTTCCCCGACAGATGCTTCCTTAGACTTGAAGATGTATGCTCGAGAAGGGCCAGCCTGCCCGGTCCTTCCAGAGCTGCCCGTGGTGAAATTGAAGTCCTTGGGCAGCTTTGAAAGCTGCCCGAGAAGGGAGGAGGCTCGCAGGCCTAAGGACGGTGCCTGCAGAGGAGAGTTTGTGCAGGGCCAAGCGGAACATTGAAGTGCGTTGCTGAGGGACTAATGGAGGAAAGAGAGGAGTGGAAGGAAGGGAGCCATGGAATGTAGCAGGATGAACAAGAGATTGAGAGAGAAATAGAAGCGGAGCAACGAACTGACTAAGAGGGGCAGAATGGAAGAGACAATGAAGAAACAGGCAGAGAGGGGAGGAATGGGCAGAGAGCAGAGGACTCACGGGAATGGAATGGCCGGCACCGCTCCACTGGGAGGCTGGAACTGGTGCAGGTGCAGTGCGGTTGAAATGGCTGTAAGAGGTGTTGACTGACGGTCGGTGTGCTTGCAAGCGGGGGGCATGTGTCTGTAAAGGAGAACCGTGGGACTGTAAGGGAGGGCCGCGTGACTGTAATGAAGTGAAAGGTGAGTGCAAGGCAGGTGGTGCGGCCCCTCTGACGACTGTGATGTTGCGGTGGGAGTGCTGCTTCCACTGCCCCAGCACTGTGTCCCTCACCTCCCTGTGATGCTGCTTGGAGGGGGAAGGAGCGGGGAGAGAAGCGAGGGGAGGGAGGGGAAATCAATCATTTATTATTTTTTCTGCTGCTTCCACTGCCCCAGCACTGTGCCCCGCACCTCCCTGAGATGCTGACGGAAGGGGGGGCAGAGAGAAAGGTTTGGAGAGCGGAGAATTGAGAGGGAGCCAAGGGACGTGTCCCGCACCTCCTTGTGGTGCTGCCAGGGTGGGGGGAAGGTGGGGGAAGAGGAGAGCAAGGGAGAGGATGTGTGTGAGAGGACTGCGTGTAATAAGATTGTTTTTGAGACGTCTCGAAAACAATCTTATTACACATGAGCAAGGGAGAGGATGGGTGTGAGAAGACTGGGAGTGCTGCTGTGAGACAATCACCTCCTCTCCGTTGCTCTTCTACCACTGTCGCTCCTCACCCAACCTCCCCCCAACTCACCACCGCCCCACTCACCGCCTTTCCCCCACTCACCATCTCCTCTACGCGTCTCTTGGCTCGCATGTGCTCTGCCAGGTCTTGCGATGCCATCTTGCCCTCATCACCATCCTCCTCCTCACCCTCATCATCCTCATCGCTCTTATCGCCCTCATCACCACCATCACCACTGCCAACACCGTTGCTACCATCGATGTCGCTGCTGCTGCCATTCTCAGCATCGTCACTCGCAGAATCATCGTCCATCTCCTCTCCCTCGCCTCTGCTCTTCCTCCCCGCACCAACAGCATCAGCATCACCACGAGCACTCTCAGTTAGGCCATCCTCCTCCAGTCCCTTCCCCTCTCCACCCTGCTTCGTCCCTCCTCCCCCCGCCTTCTCTTTGAGCATCCTCACTTTCTTTGCCAGTAACCCCCACTCCCCACCACCTGCCCCCTTCGCTTTCCCTCCCTCTCCCTTCCCACTCTCTCCACTCTTCCTCTTCCTCACTCCCTCTTTCCTCAACCCTTCATTCTCCCCCGTTTCCTCCTCCGCCTCCTCCTCTCCCTCTTCCTCCTCCTCCCCATCCCCCATCAGACCCACTCCCATGCTCCCCCGTTCCCCCCCGCCCTGGTTCCGCCTGCCCATGCGCACATGCGCCCAGCCCCCCTGCACTCCGCCCATCACCGCCCCCTGCACTCTCTCGTCCTCCTCCTCCTCCCACTGCCTGTGCAGTGCTGCTCTCTCCAACGCACCATCTGACCCTTCCTCCTCCTCTTCCTCCCCCTCTTCCCCCTCGTCTCCCTCTTCTCCCTCTTCCTCCTCTTCCTCCTCTTCCCCCTCGTCCTCATCTCCCACCCCCTTGTCCACCTCCCCCTGTCCCTCGTCCTCGTTACAAGCAGCTCCGTTACCATCACTGTCATCCTCTCCGAGATCCTCTATATCCATCCGATCCCAATTCGCATCTCGCCCCTTTGCCCCCAAAGCTGTACCCCTATCCTCCTCCTCCTCATCATTCCCTCCCTCCCTCTCCTCGTCCTCCTCCTCCTCCCCCCCATCCTCCATAGCAGAATCATCAATGAATCTCCGCCCGGCTTCTCTCAGCCCAAACAATCCCTTGGCTGTTCCCCCGCTCTGATTACCATTGACTCCAGCGGCAGCACCAGCACCACCACTAGCACCAGCAGCACCAGCACTAGCACCACGAGCAGAAACAGCAGCACCAGAAGCAGCAGCAGCACCAGTTGTAACATCGTCAGCGGAAGCAGCAGCAGTGGTAGCAGCAGCAGCACCACCGGCATCAGCAGCAGCACCAGAACCAGCACCAGCACCAACACCAACACCGACTCCATCAGCAGAAGCAGCATTATTAACACCAGCGCCAGCAGCAGCACCACCACCTCCGCCCCCTCCTCCACTTCCCACCTTCCCCCCCTGCGTATCCGCCCCTCCCCCACGCCCCTTCGCCCACTGACTGAGCGACTTGGGCCCCACTCCTGCTGCCTTGCGCGCCCCCACCCACCACCTCACTGCTCCCCCCTGCTTTCCCCCCGCTGCGCCCCCCTGCTTTCCCTCCGCTGCACCCCCTTGCTTCCCCCCCTCTGCGTCCCCCTGCTTTTCCCCATCAGCCGACCCCTGCTTCCCCCCCTCTGCACCTCCCAGTTTCCCCCCATCACCGCCCCCATCTGGTTTCTGCCCTGCTGTCACCACCCCTGCCTTGCCTGCCCCTTCCTCCCCTTCCTCCCCTTCATCCCCTCGCCCTGCCGCACCTGTATTCTCTCCCTCCACCGCCCCTCTCCCAGCGGACACCCCAGCAGCTGCCTCCCTCTTAGCACCACCAGCGTTAGAGTCCAATGCCGTCCCTGCACTCCCCACATGCGCTCGCCCACACACCTTCTCTCGCTCCCTGCTCCTCCCAGGCCCGTCCCTGCCCCTGCCCTCGCCTGTGCCACATCCCTTCCCCGGGCACTTCGTTGCACTGCCCTTTTCTCCCTTGTCCCAATTCTCCTCCGTTCCCCCCTTCTCTCGCTTCCCTCCCTCCCCACCCTGTTCCCACGTGGCCCTCATCTTGTCGTCGTCCCTAGCCTCGTCTTCTCCACGCTTCATCTGCGCCTCCCTTCCTACCTGGCCCCCTTGCTCCACAGCACACGCGCCTTCCACCTCTCCCTTCTCCTCCCCCTTTCCCGTTGTTCCCTTCTCATCTGCATCTTTTTCTGCTGCCGCTCCTGCTGCCCCTCCTGCTGAGCTTCCTGCTGCCCCGCCTATTCCCACCCCTCCTGCTGTCGCAGCTGCAACAGCAGCAGCAGCAGCAGCAGGAGGAGGGGAGCATTCAAGCACGATGAGCTCATCATCCTCCTCCTCGCCCTCCTCCGCCTCCTCCTGTGCGAAACGGCGCAGCATTTCGGCGATCAGACCACTGGACACAGCAGCAGCATCAGCAGTGCCAGTGGCGCCTCCGGCATTCTCCCCTTCTCCTCGCTCGCTCGTCCGTGCCTTGGGCTTTTCTTCCTCCTCCCCCGATTCTTCCTCCTCCTCCTCCCGGTCCACGTCATCATCCTCACCGTCCACGTCATCATCCTCACCGTCCACGTCATCGTCCTCGTCATCCATCTCATCTTCCTCGTCCTCCTCTTCCGTTTCTCTGTCCGATGCATGCAGGGCGAGGGTAGGGAATCGGGACACGCAGAACACACAACGCACATGAAGCACAGTCAGATACATTTGCACAGCATGGCACACCCAGAATGAGGCCGCTGAAAGCACAGCAAAGCACAGTCAGATACATTTGCACAGCATGGCACACCCAGAATGAGGCCGCTGAAAGCACAGCAAAGCACAGTCAGATACATTTGCACAGCATGGCACACCCAGAATGAGGCCGCTGAAAGCACAGCAAAGCACAGTCAGATACATTTGCACAGCATGGCACACCCAGAATGAGGCCGCTGAAAGCACAGCAAAGCACAGTCAGATACATTTGCACAGCATGGCACACCCAGAATGAGGCCGCTGAAAGCACAGCAAAGCACAGTCAGATACATTTGCACAGCATGGCACACCCGCAGTGAGGTTCTAGGCTGCTCAAAGCACAGCAATAGCGGCAGAGAGCAGTCAGAGTGGCAGGGAGAGGGGGGGGAGTGGGTATGGGGGAGGTTGCAGAGGACGCGGCCGCAGAAGGCACGACAAGGCAGCATGCGGTCCCATGCCCCAACACCAATTGCCCATCGCCCATCCCCCATCATCCATCCTATCATGTATCCCGTCACCCATCCCCCACGTACGTTGCGTGCACCCCATCCCCCACCTACCACGCATGCTTGCATCAAGCAGCGCCCTGCGCGCGCGTACGGTGGTGAAGAAGCCGCCTATCCCCATCCCCCATCCCCCATTCCCCATCCCCCCAACCCCCATTCAACCCAACCCCCACCTCCCACTTGTCCCCATTCATGACCCACCGCGGCATGCTTGCATCCAGCTGCGCCATGTGCGCGCGCATGGAGGTGATGAAGCCGCGAATAACCCATTCAACACCACCTAACCTTCCCAACCCATCCCCCATTCTCCACCACCACCCATTCCCCACCACCTACCCTTCCCCACCCATCCCCCATCCACCATGACCCACCGCGGCATGCGCGCATCCAGCAGCGCCATGCGCGCGCGCATGCAGGTGAAGAAGCCGCCCAGCGAGATGGTGGCCAGCCGCGGCCGCGCGAACTTCACACTGCTCTCTGGTGCATGGCGGAAGGCGGGCCAGGGGAGGGCGGGGCAGGGCATGGCAGGGCAGGGCAGGGTAGGGCCGCAGGGCGGGGCGGGGCAGAGCAGGCATAGCAGGGCGGGGCGGGGCGGGGCAGTGGTGAGGAGGGATTGGAATGGCACGGCATGGAGGCAGCTGGATGCGAATAGAGTGGCAGGGCATGGCAAGGCGATATTTCTTCTGCGTGCATGTGCATGTGCATGTGTGTGTGTCAAGGAGGCGTGATAGGCGTGTATTCTCTGCACTAACCGCGAAGAAGTCGTTGCGACGTCGCCAGGAGGTCAGCTGATTCTCTGCGACGCTCGCGATCCTCCTGCGACAGAGACACGCGAAAGGGTCAGCCGAGGCGACAGAGACATGTGCGGGGACAACGGGAGTGCGGTAGGGCGACGTCAGTTGCGACGCGACAGCTTCGTTGTCGCCGTTAAATCGAACCGGAGAGTTTTATTCGCCTCACCGTCTCAACCATTCCCCGTCGCCGTACCTTCCGCTTCATGGCGGCTGCAGCAGCCTCCGCCGTCTTCCTCTGTCGCCTCGCCGCACCTCCTCCCGTCGCCGCCACTTCGCCACCTTTCCCCACCTTTTCGCCATCTGTCGCCTTCTTTTCGCCACTGTTCCCTTCCTTTTCGCCATCTGCCGCCTTCTCTTCGCTACCGTTCCCTTCCTTTTCGCCATCTGTCGCCGCCTTTTCACCACCAGTCCCCACCTTTTTGCCATCATACGGCACGTGCTCGCCATCCGTCGCCGCCTTCCCCGCTCGCCAGCCGTTCCAGTCGCTCGCCGCCGAATCGTCGGAATCGTTGCACGAATCCTTCCCCGCCGACTCGCCGCTCTCCGCGGCTCGCCTGCCCCACCAGCCGCCAATCCCCTCGCCTGAACCGCCGTCGCGCCGCTCAGCCGACTCACCCGCCGCCAAGCCAACGCCCGTCGCTGCTGCTGCTGCCACTGGTGCTGCTTCTGATGCTTCCGCTGATGCTTCTGCTGGTGCTTCTGCTGGTCCTTCTGCTGGTGCTTCTGCTGGTGCTTCTGCTGCTGCCACTGGTGCTGCTTCTGCTGGTGCTACTCCTGCTCCTTCCGCTGATCCTGCCGCTTCTGCAGCATTATCAGGTTCCATACCGTCTGCAACGGCATCGGCGGGTCTTCCCGCTGCTGCTGGCGTCGACTCACAGCGCGCCTCATTCTCTGGTGAAGCGCCGTCGCCGCCGGTGATCGTCGGCGATCCGGCGATCTCACTCGCCGTATCGCGGCGGTCGTCTGCACCGGCGAGAGTCTTTCGCGAAACCTCGAAGGTCGCAATCGCCACCGGAGGGTCGCCAGCACCGCCGCTGGCGACGCCGTGGAGCAAGCCGTCCATCGATGGACGCGTGTCCGTCAGCGTCGCGCCGGGCATCTTTTGCGGCTCGTAAACTCCTACAAGACACCCTCTCAAGGACCGTAACCTCGCGCGTGCTGTTCGCCTCCTCGATTGGAAAAAAAAAAGGGCTCCTATTCTGCGGACTTCACTCCATGAACCAGGCCGCCTCGCGACAAAGAGTCACGGAACTCGAGTTTCTATAGTTTCGAGAAAATAAGAAAGCATTGTTCAATGACTTGGAATAGAAGAGGCTGTGATGAAAGTCGAAGTGAAGCGTCAGGGTGGAAGGTTTGTTCACACCGGCCGCGTCGCGCACAATTCGAATGTTTAAAGAGTACTCGAATGAATCAGATTCGATTAAAGGACTTGACTACACTTTAAAGAAAATATCAGTCCTAAAACCAAACAGCCTCCAATTTTCCCACACAAAAATACCAAACGTGCAGCCCTGTATACTGCCCTTGCCCCAGTTCCCGCGCCGCCCTTGATTCTCTCCTGTCTCTGCTCTCTTGCCCAAGCCCCAGTTCCCGCGCCGCTTCTGTTTTCCTCCGCGCTCTTCGCCCTATTTTCGCACTGTCCTATCTCCGCACTAGCGCGATCCGCTCTTTGTGTGCAGTGCCACCCAACACGCCTCGTTGCATCACCACAAGGCCCGCTGCGACTGCCGTTTCTCTCGTCACCCATGCCACATCGCTTATCGCATCGTTCCCCCCTCACCCGCCTCTCGTCCCCTCGCCGCTCTCCTCCCCGCGCCACTCGCCGCTCCTCTTCTCGCTCCTCCCAACCGCCGATCCTTCCCAAAACCTTCTTTTCCGCGCCACCAGGCTTGTTGAGCGGCAGCGGCAGGGGGAAGGAGAACGGAGGGCAGGGAAGAAGGCAAAGGTGGGAAGAAGGCAAAGGTGGGTTGGGGGGGAAATGGGTGGATAAATGCGTCGCCCGTGGCTTTCCTCTCCCTCGCCGTTCACTCCCTGCCGTTGCCGCCTAGGGAGTACCTCTAGGGAGTACCTCACTGCAGCCTATCATAACATTGATATTTGACACACCCCCATAGGCTAAGTGAGGGGCATCAGAGCAAGCAAGGTGAAACAAACGGTCACAAGACCAGTTAAGGCAAGAAGCAAGGCAAGCTCAGGGTGGATCTCAAGGACACCACACAAATTCCGAGCACAAGCAAGCGGCCACAAGGCCAGTTCAAGAGTTCACTAGGATATAAATAGGAAAACACAACAAGCAGAGCAAGCAACAAGACTACAGCAACCGAGGGCCTACCTCAACAAGCCCCAACTGCACACAGAACCTGTGGTGATCACCAAGCGCCAAGGCCTTGGTGAAGACGTCTGCAGTGTTGGCCTCTGAGGCCACAAAGTCCAGTCGAGCCTGGCCGCGTCGCTGCAACTCTCGCAGGAGGAAGTACCTCACGTGAATATGCTTCACTCTGCTCTCCAATCGAGGCTCTCGACACAGGAGGATCATGGCCTTGTTGTCAGCGTACAAGGTCGGTGCAGAGCGAGGCCGCTCACCAAGGTCGGCGAGCAAGAAGGTCAACCAGCGAAGCTCCTGTGCCGCCATGGCACCCGCGTAGATCTCTGCCTCTGCACTGGAAGTAGCCACAGACGACGACCGAGTAGACCTCCACGACACAGCACCAGCTCCCAGACTGAAGCAGTAACCCTGAGTCGAGCGCTGAGTCTCCACGTCGTCAGCGTAGGAAGAGTTACAGTGACCAGTCAACGCCACTGGCTGAGTCCCTCCAAGCACAAGCCCCATGCCTGATGTAGTCGCCAGGTACTTCGCCACCCTCACAGCAGCTGTCCAGTGGACAGGACGGTGTCTCCCAGTCGCAACAAAGAGAGAAAGGATGCTGAGGGGAAAGGCGAGGTCCGGCCGAGTACAAGTCATCAGGTACACGAGGCAGCCCACCAGCTCTGCGTAGGGGCCGCTGGACTCAAAGGGCTCGTCAGGAAAGGGGCCCGTGAGTCTGTGGTCAACAGCAAGAGGAGTGGGCTGTGTGGTGGAGAACTGGAAGTCGAACCGCCGAAGGACCTGCTGCACCATGTGTGACTGCGTCAGTGTGATGGTGCGAGCGGCTCTGTCCCGGGTGATCTGCAGGCCAAGGTAGCGCTGCAGCTCACCCAGGTCAGTGCACTTGTGTCTCTTCTGCAGTTCGGACTTCACCTGAGCCAGGGCTGCCCTGTCTGCTGTAGCAAAGACCAAGTCGTCGACGTAGACAAGGATAAAGAAAGGAGTAGAACCCGCTCGAACAAACAGCGACGGGTCGGCGGAGGACGGGCTGAACCCAAGGTCACGAAGCGTGGAGCGAAGAGTGTCGTGCCACTCACAGGGCGACTGGCGGAGACCGTAGACTGGTCGCCTGAGGCTCCACTGGGTCCCAGGTGGGAAGGTGTCAGTGAAGCCAGGAGGACGGCGCAGCCAGATCTCCTCGTGCAGTCGGCCCTGGAGGAACGCAGTGGAGAAGTCGAGAGAGTGCAGCTCGTGGTCTCGCTGCGCTGCTATGTGGAGTAGCACCCGAAGAGTAGTCATCTTCGGGGTCGGGGCGAAGGTCTGGAAGAAGTCAACTCCCTCACGCTGACTGAAGCCCCTAGCCACGTAGCGCGCCTTGAACACCGGCGGTGCTCCAGGCTGCCGCTTCACCTTGAAGAGCCACATGCCATCGACTACGTTCGCCCTGGGAGGGGGAACTGCGTCGACGTAGGTGCCTGTGGATCTCCAAGACGCCAACTCTGAGTCCATAGCCGCTTTCCACTGAGAGGCCCACGCCCCTGACACTGCCTTGCGGTAAGTGCGAGGAGTCGGTATGTCAAGGGCGTCGGGGTCTCCCTCAGGGGAGAGCAGCATGGCACACACAGAGGGAGAAGCGGCTGCCCAGTACTCCAGCTCAGGCTCTCTGTCCTCTAGGACGTCACAGCCAAGGGCAAACCCACCCCCGACGGACAAAGGACGGTAGGGAGGAGCTGGCACCACACGGGTGGCGTAGTCAAGGCGGCTGGCGGCAGCAAACTCAGCGACAGCGGCAGTAAGAGCCGAGGCAGACGACGGAGGGAAACGAGAGTCGGTGACAAGAGTGGCGAGGACACGTGCGGCAACAGGACGAACAGCGCGGTAGTAGTCAGAGATAGGAGTGGGGAGGGCTGGGAGAGAGGACGGAGGAGGAGACGGGAGAACGGACACAGGAGAAGGAGAACGACGACGGGACGAACAAAGGAGGGCAGTGTGGAGGTCAGTAACTGGGGACGAGTGACGAGCACGCGGAGGACAACGAGTGATCAAATCGTGACGGACAGAAGGAGGAGGAGACTGAGGAGGAGGAGAAGACCAGACCGCCGGACGGTCGTCAGGAGGAGGCAACGGAGGAACAAACACAGGAGGAGACTGGGAGCGGACAGGAGGAGAGGAGGAAAGGCCAAGGGCCCGCAGGCCACTCACAGGTGGGAACAACTGCCGCTCCAGAGGAAGCTGCGGCGGCGGCTGCGGCTGCTGCTGCTGCTGCTGCTGCTGCTGCTGCTGCTGCTGCTGCTGCTGCTGCTGCTGCTGCTGCTGCTGCTTCTGCAGCTGCTGCTGCTGCTGCTGCTGCCACTGCTGCTCCAGAAGGTCCAGCACCCGCAGCTCCTGCCGCTCCCTCTCCAACCGCTCCTGCTCCTCACGCTCACGCCGACGGGCAGCCTGGAGACGCGTGTCGTGGCGGTGGGGAGGCGGAGTGGACTCCGCAGAACCAGGGTCCCTAGCGCCAGTCTCCTCAGACTCAGCACCCCCAGAACCAACACCTCCAGTGTCAGGACCTCCAACTCCAGCACCCCCAGAACTAGCACCTCCAGTGCTAGCACCTCCAACTCCAGCACCCCCAGAACTAGCACCCCCAGTGCCAGCACCTCCAGCTCCAGCACCCCCAGAGCTAGCGCCACCTGCGCCAGCCCCTCCAGCTCCAGCACCCCGCGAACGAGCACCCCCAGACCGCGCACCGCCAGCGGCTGCACCTCCAGCTCCAACACCAACCAAGTCCACAGGAACCTGTCGCGGAAGTGCCGAAGGCTGCTGAGGGGACTGTGAGGAGGACTGTGGGGAGGGAGACGCTACCTGACGCGTGACCGAGGGTAGAGGGGTAGCGTGGGACACACCAGACGGGGCAGGACCGGGGGGGGGGGGGGGGTACCAAAGGAGCAGGAGCAGGAGGAGGAGAGGGTGCTAGGAAAAGGGGGGAAGGGGGTACCGGGAGACCTCGACAGGGGTACCGGGTGTAGTAGGACACAGACTCGTCAAACCGGACGTCACGGGAGTCTAGGAACTGGTGGAGGGGCGGGTGGTAAAAGGACCAGTCGGCAGATTCCACTGGGAAACCAAGGAAGACACAGGGGACGGCGCGTGCCGAGAGCTTGTCCGCGGAGGTGTCGCGAACAAGTGCAAGGCAGCCCCAGACTCGAAAGGCCGACCCAACACCAGGGGAACCAGTCCAAAGACTGGTCGGTGAAGCCTCGGGCCGCGAGACACGCGGCTGGAGGTTCAGCTGGTGTGCGGCGTAGCGAACCGCGTGGGGCCACAGAAAATGGGGCGCACGGGCATGGATCATGGACGTGCGGGCAATGTCCATGACCAAGCCTATACGGCGCTCAGCAACCCCATTCTGTTGTGGGGACTCTGGCAGCGTCCAGGACTGTACAATGCCCTGTTCGCCACAGAATCCGCCGAGAATGCCGGAGCGAAACTCGCCCCCACGGTCGGAGTGGAGACAACTGACTCGACGACCACGAGTGCCCTCAGTGGCTAGAAGCCACCTGATCAGCGTAGCAGTCACCTCGGACTTCTTCGCAAGAGGGAACACTGTGGTGTACTTGGAGTAGTCGTCGACGACCACCAGAAAGTAACGCTCCCTCCCAGTCCACTGCGTCGGGGCAGGGCCCCAGACGTCCAGGTGGAGAGTCTCGAAGGGAGCGGTGGCCGGACGAAGGGAGGAGGAGTGGGGAGTGGCGCGTAAGCGACCGGCGACGCACGGAGAGCAAGGAGGGGCAAGTGAGGGAGGGAGCGACGGGAAGGTGCGCGGGAGACCTGTGACAAGTCCCTGACTGAGCATGCCACGAAGGCGAGGGATCGACGGGTGGCCAAGGCGGTGGTGCCACAGGACGGTGCGGTGGGCGAGAGAGCGACAGGAGCAAGACGCAGCGATTGGACTGGACACAACGACCGGACCGGACACGACTACCTGGCTAGACACAGTAACTGGACTGGGGACCTGGGCCGGAGGGGACGCAACGACCTGAGTGGAGGACGCGACCGGGGAGCGCTCGGTGTGGAGAACGTAGAGACCGGAGCGGGGCTCCCTGGTGAACGTGGCCAGAACAGCACCTGTGGTAGCGTCTGTACAGACTGCAGTCCTGTCACCGCATATGCACCTAATGCATATGCAATAACAGTAGGATGATGGTGTAAGGGGGACTTGTAGTGGCTGTTATGGGAACATTAGCTAGTTATAAGAGTATGAGTTAGGAATCAGTTGTAGGTGTAGAACGTAGGAAAGTTACTGTTAGGGAGGGGTGTAGAAAGGGGGAAATTGGATGAGAGCGGATGGGATTGCGAGGGAAAAGGCACCGAAGGGCGAAATAGGAAGCCAAGCATTCCCAACCCCGAGCCGCACTTTTGGGAATGTGCAGCTTGGGGTTGGGTAAGGGCAGTCACAGCCAACCCCTCGATGCTTTCGTGATGTTATTCTCTCATATTAGTGGAAAGCTGTTACCTCTGATCTAGCATCCGGTGGCACGCCACTAGGGGAGGACCTACGGGGTGAGGGAGGAAACTCGTTCATAACAGCACGAAAGCCCATCGAGCGGTTCGAGCAAATAGCATAGAATGGACTGCCACGAGCTGCGCTGGCAGCGGACAGACTCGCGACGGGAAATCTTGCCGTCGCGGAGGATGCGCTCACGGGAGCATGGGAGATCACTTGCGCGTAAGCCACGGAGGGCGGCGTACGGCGCGGATTTGGTGACGCCCGTCGGTGGGCGAGCTGAAGGTGTCAGGTCGGAGCCCAGGATGGGCAGTGACCCGCGGATTCTGGCAGGAGGCCAGCGCGGAACGGGTGTAAGGCGTCGCGACGGTGTGGACGGGGTAGATTCGTCCGATTCGGCAAGCGAGGCTGACGGCGCGGAAGAAGCAGACGGCACGGAAGAAGCAAACGGCGCGGAAGAAGCAGACTGCGCGGAAGAAGCAGACGGCGCGGAAGAAGCAGACGGCGAGGAAGAAGCGGACGGCGCGGAAGGAGCAGACGGCGCGGGAGAAGCAGACGGCGCGGAAGAAGCAGACGGCGCCATCCCGATGGCGCGGGATGGTGAGAGGGAGGAAGTGGCGGAAGAAGGGCGCGACGGAGAGAGCAAGGATGCGGGAGGAAATTGCTCGCCGGTAAGGATGCGCGGAGGCGGCGCGAAGCGTCACGGGAACATGACGACAGGGCGTTCGCCGGAAGACATGCGCAGGGGAAGCGTGAGGCGCTGCGGGAGCACGGATGCAAACGGATTGGCAGACGAAGGGCGTGAAGAGGGCGCGAGGCACCGCGGGGGCGCGAATGCAGACGGGTTGGCAGACGAAGGGCGCGGGGGCGCGGATGCAGATGGTACGGTGGACGAAATAGGTGGAAACAGCGTGAGGCACTGCGGAGGCAAGGATGCAGGTCGCTCGGCAGACGAAATGCGAGGTGGCAGCGCAAGGCGCCGCGGGAGAGCGGATGCAGACAGCTCGCCAGAACGGATGCGCGGGAGTGGCGGGAGGCGCCAAGGGAACATGGCGGCAGAGCGTTCGCCAGAGGAGGTGCTCGAGGGAGATGCGAGGCGCCGCGGAACCGCAGCGGCAGGTCGCTCGCCGGACGATCTTCGGGAGGACAGCAGGAAAAACCATGCGCCAACGGGACGGTACAGCTCGCCTGAGCTGCGAGGACGTGGGAGGAGACGCGTGGCGATGGCCGCGCGGCGATAGCCAGAGGTGCGGAGGGAGCAGTATGAGCGAGGGAGACTGGCAGGTCAACGGGGGCCTGCTGTTTGGGGGAGAGAGAGACAGAGAGAGAGAGGTGAGGAGCAACGTGGGCGACGGGAGAGTAAGCCAGAGGAAGAACGGGGCAGACGAGCAGGTCCGGACGGGGAGCGAGGGGATTGTGAGGAAAGAGATGGGTGGTGCTCACCAGAGAGAGGAGGGGGGCGTGAGGAGGGACGCATCAGGGAGGGTGCACGACGATCGCTGGGCGCAACAAGGGCAGAAGTAAGGGGGAGAGGGAACCGACGGCGGCGGGAAGATGTGGAGCGAGAAAGGCGGTATCAGGAGCACTCGCATGATGGGAAGGAAAGGCGGTGGGACGGAGCAGAGAAGCGGAGAGCGGCTTACGAGAGAGAGCGAGGAAGGAGTCCGAGTACAAGGGGCCCGAGGGGGCGATGGCAATCAGGAGGAGGATCCGAAGGAGCCAGAGCGGCCAGAGAGGGGACAGAACGGGCGCTATATGGGGCAAGCTCGGGCAGCAGGGGAACAAGGAAAAGGGGTGAAGAGAAGCAGAGTAGGCGACGGGAAATGATGCTTGCGCATGAAACGGAGAGTGAGGACGAAGGAGAGTGTGACGGACCTACGCGCCACAGGTCGGGCCGAAGGGAGGGGCGTTGGAAAGAACATTCCCCGGAGAAGAGGGAGAGACCAGGGTGGGGATCGGAGAGATATGGGGAGGCTCAAGAGAGAGGGGGGGGGAGGAGCATAGGTCCGACGTGGCGGAGAAGGCGGCAGCAGTCATGGGTAGGCGCTACGGGGGCAAGGGCAGCCAGGGAAGGAAGTGGTCGAGTGCTGTATGGGACAGAGTCAAGAAGCAGAGAGTTGAGGGAGAGGAGAGGAGAGAGTAGCAGGAGGAATGAGAGCTCAGGGACTTGGGAGACAGGGAGGTGGAGTGCGCAGGCCCCACCTCAGGTGGAGGTGCCAGTGCGCTTTACGGGGGGAGCAGGGTCAGACACAAACCTGAAGAATTACCTGATGCAAATCGGTAATGTGAAGTACCGCTGCGACAGGAGTGGGATGGACCCGATAGAGTTTTTCTTGAGCCTACCGAACACGCTGGGAGGCGAAGCTGAGACGCTATATCGTATGAAGATGAAGGAATGGCTGAGGAGGGCAGAGGAGGAGGATGAGGACCCAACCACTCTGTTCCTAGAGCGGCTGCGGAAGCAGTTTCCAGGGCACAAGGCGGAGAGGGTGAGAGAATTTCAGGAATTCCAGCGAGGGAGGGCCGAGTCACTGCTCACCTACTACGGTAGGTTGACGGATCTGGCAGAAGACGTGGTGTGCACAGATGGCAGCATGCTTATAAGCAAGTTCCTGGGGGGTCTGGATGAGGGATTGAGCGGCGGGCTGAGAATGAGAGTGTATGAGTTGGGAGCTGAAGCAACGCTGGAGGAGGTGTTTGAGTTGGCAGAGAGAGTGGAGCTGGCGCAGAGGCAGTATGAGGCGTACCTGCCGAGGGTGTTAGAGAAAGGGCGGCCCAGGTGGGCTGCAGCGATGATAACCGAGGACGGGGGTGGGGAGGAGCAGTGGCAGGAGAGGCGAGCAGAAACACGGACGTGCCACAGGTGCGGGCAGGAGGGGCATATCAGGAGGGAGTGCAAGAACTGTGATGTGTGCGGAAAGCCTGGGCACCGACGGAGGGACTGCCCAGATGCACCGAGCTGTGAGGTGTGTGGGAATCGGGCAAGAAACTGCTATGAGAAAGGAAGGGATGCAAGGAGATCACCCAAGGAGATCGAGGAACAGATCGAACAGTTACGAGCCCAACTGCAGGCACTGGGAGAAAGAACTCAGGGGCAAGCGGGGTTGTACGCAGAGGAGGAAGAGGGGCAGGAGCCAGAACACTCCGGTGCGGTGCTGCGTGGCCATGCAGACATGTGGCTGCGCAGTGGGGGCAGGGACATACGAAGGGAGCTAGTGAGTAAGGTGGGGGCATGGGCGTGTATGTCAGTAACACTAGCAGCAGCGGGAGCAGAGGAGCAGGACGAGCAGGCGGGGGCAGGAGCGTGCGTACCAGCAGCAGCGGGAGCGGAGGAGCGGGATGAGCAGGTGGGGTCAGAAGCGTACGTACCAGCAGCAGCGGGAGCAGAGGAGCGGGATGAGCAGGTGGGGGCAGAAGCGTGCGTACCAGCAGCAGCAGGAGCGAAGGAGCGGGATGAGCAGGTGGGGGCAGAAGAGTGCGTCCCAGCAGCAGCAGGAGCGAAGGAGCGGGATGAGCAGGTGGGGGCAGAAGAGTGCGTCCCAGCAGCAGCAGGAGCGAAGGAGCGGGATGAGCAGGTGGGGGCAGAAGCGTGCGTGCCAGCAGCAGCGGGAGCGGAGGAGCGGGACGAGCAGGTGGGGGCAGAAGCGTGTGCATTAGCAGCGGCGGAAGCGGGAGGGAAGAACGAGAAGGTGGGGGCATGGTCGGGTGTACCAGTGGCAGCAGAAGCGGAAGGGAGGGAAGGGAAGGTGGGGGCACAGGCGGGCATGACAGCAGTAGCAGAAGCGGAAAGCGGGGCAGTGAAGGTGGGGGCACAGGCGTGCATGACATCAGTAGCGGAAGTGGAAAGCGGGGCAGTGAAGGTGGGGGCACAGGCGGGCATGACAGCAGTAGCAGAAGCGGAAAGCGGGGCAGTGAAGGTGGGGGCACAGGCGTGCATGACAGAAGTAGCAGAAGCGGCAGGGAGGGAAGAGAAGGAGAGAGCGCAGGCGTGCGCAGCAGCAGCAGCGGAAACGGAAGAGGAAAGGAAAGAAGAGAAGTTGGGGGGCACAGGCGTGTGCAGTAGCAGCACCAGAAGAGGAAGGGAAAGAAGCGAGGTTGGGGGCACAGGCGTGTGCAGTAGCAGCAGCAGAAGAGGAAGGGAAAGACGAGAATTTGGGGGGCACAGGCGTGTGTAGTAGCAGCAGCAGAAGAGGAAGGGAAGGAGAGAAGTTGGGGCACAGGCGTGTGCAGCGGCAGCAGCAGAAGAGGAAAGGAAGGAAGAGACGTTGGGGACACAGGCGTGTGCAGCAGCAGCAGCAGAAAAGGAAGGGAAAGAAGAGAATTTGGAGACACAGGCGTGTGGAGCAGCAGCAGAAGAAGAGGAAGGGAAGGAAGAGAAAGTAGGGGCACCTGAGTGTGTAGCAGCAGCAGCGGAGGCGGGAGTGGAGAATGAGGAGGGAGGATGGGCAGGGTGGACTGCAAAGGAAGGATCTAAGTGGACGGTGGGGGGGGGGGGCAATGAGCGGGCAGGGGAGGGAGGTCACACTCGTGACACAGACAGTGGGAACAGGAGGGGTGGAGAATGGCGTGGCATTGGTAGAAACCAGGGCAAGGTACCTGAAGGAAGGACTGCCGGCAGCACGGGAGAACTTACAGACAGTGCAGCTGAGAGATGCACACAGGCCAGAGGAGCGGCTGCAGCAGGGCTGCACCAAGCACAAGGGCGGCAGAAGGAGTGAGACAGGAAGTCTACCCCTCGGGGGGGACAGAAGGATACTCTGGAACAGGAAGTGGTGCTGGGCACACAGAGAAGGAGGGCGACGAATCTGAGGGGGCGGGAGTGCTGTGTCAGAGAGTGGGCGAAGAGAGAAGACAGGGGACCACCAATACTGCAGTGGTGAGAAGTACCCCGGCCTCAGCAAGAGTGTCCAGTGCCTCGTGCACGGGAGACCCGAGCACGAGCTCTGGAGGGGGCATGTGGTGGCTGAGGCAGAGAAGGGAAGGTATCACGGGAACAGGGCAGAGGGAAGAAGGGAGGGAGGATGAGTGCCGGGAGGAGAGGGCAGGCCATGGGAGGAAACAGAGGAGGGGGCAGTGGTACGAGTGAGGCATCTCCAAGAGGGTCCTGTGACACGAGCTCAAGCGGCTAGAGCACGAGCACAGGAAGGGGCAGCGGTTGAGTGAGGCTTTGCAACACGGAGAAGGGAGGAAGCAGAGAGACAGCAGGAGAAGAGCAGGTGCAGGAAGAAGAGCAGGAGCAGGGAGAAGAGTAGGTGCGAGGAGCAGAGCATGGGCTGGGAGAAGGAAGGTTCTCCGACAGCTGTCACCGCATATGCACCTAATGCATATGCAATAACAGTAGGATGATGGTGTAAGGGGGACTTGTAGTGGCTGTTATGGGAACATTAGCTAGTTATAAGAGTATGAGTTAGGAATCAGTTGTAGGTGTAGAACGTAGGAAAGTTACTGTTAGGGAGGGGTGTAGAAAGGGGGAAATTGGATGAGAGCGGATGGGATTGCGAGGGAAAAGGCACCGAAGGGCGAAATAGGAAGCCAAGCAGTCCCAACCCCGAGCCGCACTTTTGGGAATGTGCAGCTTGGGGTTGGGTAAGGGCAGTCACAGCCAACCCCTCGATGCTTTCGTGCTGTTATTCTCTCATATTAGTGGAAAGCTGTTACCTCTGATCTAGCATCCGGTGGCACGCCACTAGGGGAGGACCTACGGGGTGAGGGAGGAAACTCGTTCATTGTGGTGGCTGAGGCAGAGAAGGGAACGTATCACGGGAACAGGGCAGAGGGAAGAAGGGAGGGAGGATGAGTGCCAGGAGGAGAGGGCAGGCCATGGGAGGAAACAGAGGAGGGGGCAGTGGTACGAGTGAGGCAGCTCCAAGAGGGTCCTGTGACACGAGCTCAAGCGGCTAGAGCATGAGCACGGGAAGGGGCAGCGGTTGAGTGAGGCTTTGCAACACGGAGAAGGGAGGAAGCAGAGAGACAGCAGGAGAAGAGCAGGTGCAGGAAGAAGAGCAGGAGCAGGGAGAAGAGTAGGTGCGAGGAGCAGAGCATGGGCTGGGAGAAGGAAGGTTCTCCGACAGTCCGCCCACCCCCCACGAAGGTAACCGTGATCCCCCTGTCCTGGAGGTATCCAACACCCACCAAGTTCCGAGTGAACGAGGGGATGTGGAGGCCGCGCAGGACACCAGAGGGGACCACAGGGCATGGGAGGGTGGTGGAGCTACGCGCAACGGCTGGTCCAGAGGTAGGATCAGCCAGAGCCACTGACACAGGAGTGAGGAGTGGCGTAAGGGTCGTGTGGTCGCCGAAGAAGCACTGAGACGCGCCCGAGTCCAGCGTGAACGACAGAGAGGCCTCAGCCGGAGGGTCACCTGACCCAGTCGCTACACAAGCACCTAGAGCAGCAACACAAGCACCTAAGCTAGACAGGCACAAGGCTACACTAGCAGGAGGCAAGCAGGCTAAACTACGAACACGCGAGCACACAGATCCATCAGCACTAAAGTCAGCATCAACATACAAAGCATGCTGACGCGCATCGTCCATGGACAGATCAAAGACATCAATCTTACGGGTTAACAGACGAGACCAGCGGGGCGTGACCGCCAGAGGGCCCCAACGAGCCCGGTAGAGGTCGTCGAGGCGGCGGAAGCACCGCGCGGCAGAGTGGTCGTCGCGACCACAGAGACAGGGGCTGCCCGGCCCGGTGAGGCACCAGTGGGTGCAGGGGCCAGCGTCACGGCGAGGGGGGCGAGGGGCCCAGCCGGAAGAGCTGCTGCTGCGGCCGGTGCTCCCAGGTCCTCCCGGACCCCACTGCGGCGGGGGACCCCAGTGCTGCTGCGGACCCCACTGCAGCGGGGGCCCCCACTGCTGGAACTGCTGCGGTGCCTGCTGCTGCTGCTGTCCCTGCTGCTGCTGCTGTCCCTGCTGTGGCAGGTGCTGCTGTGGCTGCTGCTGTTGGGGGGCAACACCCCCACCGGTCGGGCCACCACCTGTGGGTGGACCTGTCTGTCGTGCACCTCCTCCAAGGCCCCCTCCCCCTGGTACACCACCGCCGCCGCCGCCGCCGCCGCCTCCACCACCACCGTCGCTCCCACCTCCACCGCCCCCTCCACCGCCGCCTCCTCCGCCCCCACCTCCCCCCTTCCCGCCCTTCTTGCCACTCTTGCCCCGTTTCTGCCAGTCTACGGCAGAAACGGCAGCGGTGTCCTCAGATAACCGACACAGCAGCAGAAGCGCGGGTAGCGGTGAAAGTGGGAAGCTGAGGGGCAGCACACCCCGCAAAGAGACGGGGGGCCACCGCATCAGTGGCGGAGGCAACGGTGAGGAGGCTGCTCTCGATGGTCCCGAGAGCAGTCTGAAGGAGGTCTATAGTGAGTTCAGTGGGGTGCTTCTGAAGAAGCGCGTCGCGGGCAGTGGCAAGGCGGTCAGGGAGGTGGGTGACTAACCAGTGCACAGTGAGCCACATGGGGGGGGGAGCAACAAGGAGCTGTGCGTCGGTACAGGCCGAACGAAAACCGGCGTCAAGCGAGCGAAGGTGAGTTACTAGGTCGGAAACAGTCGCAAACGAGCCTAGGTCGGGAAACACGAACGGCATGAGGAGGCGACTGAGGGAGGCGGAGGAGGGAGTGGAATAGCGAGCCACAATAGCATCCCAAACCCCCTTGGCTGTCTCCACCTGGTCAAAGTGAGCGGCCTCAGTCGGGGGGAGAAGCTCCGATAGCGTGAGGGCGGCGGCCGCGTCACGAGAGAGCCACACGTCCCGAGCCAGGACCCGGCGGTCGTAGTCCGCCTGGGCCGTAGGAGTCGGCTCCGGGGCGGTCGGCAGGGCGGCGGGGGACGGGGGTGCCGCGAGAGCGCCCGACGCGTGGGCCCACAGAGTGGCGCCGTCCTGACGCTAGCTGGTGAGGAAACGTGTGGTCTGGCGCTGCCAGGTACCGAACTCGATCGGGCGTCCCTCAGCATCGAAACGGAGGCGACGGGCCTCCATAGCGGAGCCCATGCTAGAGGCGACTGGAGCACGACGGAGGCGGAGCTAAGAACGAGGAGGAAAACTACGGAGGGCTAGGGACGCCAGCGGGGAAACCGACGAGAGACAGTCGGCGAGAAGATAGTCGTGGGGCGGGGCTCTAACCGAACCTAGGTGGCGCTACCGGAGGGAAGAGCGGCTGCCAACCGCTGAGCCGGGAGCCAAGTGCAGTAGGAATGGCGTGGGACCGGGGCACAGGTGAAGGGGAGAGAGATGCAGTAAGCGCACAAAGGGATGCGGGAAGCGCACGCAGGTGTGCGGGAAGCGCACGAAGGTGTGCGGGAAGCGCACGCAGGTGTGCGGTAAGCGCACGCAGGTGTGCGGTAAGTGCACGCAGGTGTGCGGGAAGGTTGACGGAGGAGGGCGCGCCACAGGCGGAGGGTGTCAAATTATATGCATGCTATATATGTGTAGGCTGTAGTGGGGTAGCCAATATGGGGTACAGCCCCTTTTAGGGTTTCATACTTGTACCCAACTCTTTGATAGTTCAATCATTCCTGCTGCTAGATTCTGACATGGTTTCAGAGCACTAGGTCTGTAGGACCGTTTTTTTTTTTTTTCGGGCCCACCTACCGTTGCGGTTACCGCGTTACCCCACGTGTTGGCCTGCCTACCTGCCTTGCCTTGTGACGTGCTGCGCTGCGCGCGCCGTCCTGCAGCCCTCGTGCTGCCTACTGCTGCCCTAGGCCAGAAACGCCGCCCCTGCAGGCCCGTAAGGCCCACGCGCCGCACCTGCAGACACGTCACGCCTGCGAGCCGCTTCTGCAGCCCCGTCAGGCCAGGGCGCCGCCCCGCCAGGTCGCTGCCCCGCGCGTCGCGCCCACAGCCCGCGCGTCGCGCTGCAGCCCCGCGCGTCGCGCCCACAGCCCGCGCGTCGCGCTGCAGCCCCGCGCGTCGCGTCCGCTGCCCGCGTGTCGCGCTGCAGCCCCGCGCGTCGCGTTCGCTGCCCGCGCGTCGCGCTGCAGCCCCGCGCGCCGCGGCTGCCGTCCTCCCGCAGCCTGCGGCGGCTTCGCGCGCCGCGCCCGCGGCTCGCGTAGCGCGCTGCAGCCTCGCGCGCCGCGGCTGCCCCTGGACGCCGCCGTCACTCCTGCAGCAGCTGCCGCGGAGCGCCCTGCCACAGTAGCGGCCCCGCCCTACAGCAGCTGCCGCGGAGCCTCCTGCCGCCGTCGAGGCCCTGCCCTGCAGCAGCTGCCGCGGAGCCTTCTGCCGCCGTCACGTACTCGCCCTGCAGCAGCTGTAGCGGACCTGCCCTACCTCCGACGCGGTCCTGCTCTGCCGCAGCTGTCGCGGCCCCGCCGTCGCCGCCGTCGTGCGCCTGCCCTTCTCGCCACTGGTGAGCACCTACCTGCCTGCCTGCCTGCCTGCCACGCCTGCTTGCCTGCCTGCCCTGCCCGCGCTACTACTACTGCTAGACTGCTGCTGCTGCTGCTGCTGCTACTACTGCTACTACTGCTACTGGCGGTGGCCAGATGCAAAACCAGCGACGTCCGCGCGAGTCTCTCACGCCTCAGCAGCTTCGTGAGTGGTACGCTAGTTGGGGTTGTGGCGGTAGCTGTCGTGGCTGTCGCCCTGGGGCTGGTCGGTCGGGAGCGTCTGGCAGTGGCCAGCTGCAGCTGCAGCGGCGTCCGCGCGAGACACTTACGTCCCGGCAGCTTCACGAGTGATACGCTCAGAGTCGAGGGTCTCGGAGTACCGTTCGCTGCCCGTACGTCCTTCGCACAGGTGATCGGGCTGGTCAGGCTTGCGGGACACTTGGTCACACCCAGTCCCGCTGCTTCACCCGTCTGAGCGACGCCTGGCGTACCGAGTTTGGCGATGAGGCTGAGCTCCCCACCTGGCTGGAGCTGCTTGGGCAGAGGGTAGATATCTTTGCTCTTGACTATGATGCTATTCTCACTGCCATGTATGCATTGCCTACTAGTGCTGACCGTGCCTGTTCCCTGTGCGTACCGCTTGACCCAGGTATAGAGCCTGCTGCCCTAGGTGCTGGTGAGGCTGCTGCTCTAGGTGCTAGTACGTCTCCTGCGCTAGGTGCTGGTGAGGCTGCTGCTCTAGGTGCTAGAGCG